AGTGACTCCAAATATATGCCAAGGCTTAAAGTAGCAACAACGCTACACATAGAAACTGATGATGGTGGAAAACACCGAAACGTATTTTTATTTTTTTAATAAAAATAAATTTTTGTCCAACACTGCTTTGCATTTAAAATTCGTTCTTGCATTCTTTTTAAAAGCAGTTTGCAAAATTCTCATGGCCACATGCTTCCAAATTTTTTATCTCCTCTAATAATCGAAAAAATAATTTGCATCTAAAGCCATTCCAAGAAAATAGCACATTTCTTTACACTTTAAACAATGTTAACAGTTGGTTTCTATTTGATATAAAGGTTTTAATTGGCGACAAGCCAATAGACGACACTTCCGATCTATCCGATGTGGGATCAGATTGCGAAGAAGCGATCCAACCGACCACAACGCATACGCTATTAGTTCAATCGAAAAACATTATAGGAGGTGGAGGCGGAGGCAAAGCCAATGTGGAAGCTACTGATAATGGCGATCTTCTGAGCGAATCGTCGACGGATTCTGGTGTCAAGGAAGTGAATGGGAAAGAGCAAAAATCGTTCGATACTGCTGAAGCATTGAAAACCGATATTTCCTTGGATGATGATAGTAAGTAGTTTGAAACAGTTTGCTTGGATGGTTAAATACTTTTAATGTTTCTTCCAGACGTTGAAGATTCCTCCTTCCTGTCAGCTTATAGTAATACGGAAAAGGAGGCAGAATATACTGAAAGATTTGCTTCACTACCCAGGCAGATCTTGAAACCTTGTGAAAGCGAACCAAAGTAAGTCAAATTGAATTCATTAAGTCGTTTGATTTTTGAAGGCAAATACAATTGGATTTTTTGCAGCTGCAAACCAGCTGAAATTGAGCCAGTCAATGCAGATTCTGATGAAAATGGTGAATCCTACGAAGCCGACAGCGACTTTGAATTTATTGGTGAGTGATTGGCTGATGGCGCTAAAGAGAAGGAAAAAAAAGGCAGATATTTTAGGAGGCAGCTACACTAAGAAGGAAAAAGAGAAGTGGAGACATGCAGTGGAAATGAAAAACAATCCCTATTCCAAGGAAAGCATTGAGAGCAGGATAAAAAGGTCCAACAGTGCTGCTGGATCAATGTAAGTGTCTATGCAAAAATGTATTGTAAGATGCACTTGCCTAAGTAAAATTTGGATGTTTTGAGGCATAAATTATCAGAATTATTGATAAATGCTTTAAAATTCGAGCGTTGTTTCAAATGCGGGAAAAAATGAAAACATTCAACTCCTGAGAGAAACGAATCTGAAAGCTCCCAATGTGTTTACATGGGTTTAGGAATCGAAAACAGTAGTTTCAAGACTAGAACTTGCTAAAAAGCATCTGTAAAGCAGAATACCGCATTATTTACACGTTCGTTTATATTGTAATATTCGTTTAAAGAAAAATTTTAAATTCTCTGTTCTAATTCTGTGGAGTTTTAATCATTTGATGAAATGGAGGATGGAAACATCGATATCCTCCAACCATATAACTTTAAATCGTTGAGGACTGCAATATTTCTGAGAGAATATATTTTGCTTCAAAAGCACTTAATTGAAGTTCCTGTTACTTCCATCTTCATTGAGCTATGGCTGTTTATTTTACCGAATGTTTTTAGAAACCATTGCGATTGTTATTCACTCAGAATTGAATCAGCAACAATTTCGCAGCCAAAAAAGGGAAGATTTATTGAAAAAAAATATATTAACTGCTCAACAACATAAAGGCTGCGCCACCAATTTTGCAATAGCTGGATCTGGATAACTTCTGATTGCTGCACGCGATTTTATTGCTGTTTGAAGCCTTAAATAGTTAATTTTATTTTCTGTCGGTGTGGGATTTTTCGAAAATGTTGTACTTCAGGTAAACTTTCTACAGGGTGGAGAATGAAACAATGTAAAATTTCTCAAAATTCTTCTAATTGCACCAGCAAACGTTTTTGTCAATTTCAACGCCCGAGGCAGAAATATATCTCGAAACTGTTATGAAATTTGTTGTCCGTCAATTTCATTTACAGGAAAACCAAAAAAATCAACTATTTGGTGTTGCACTGATACAAATTTTCAAAAATCGAAGTTACTCAGATCAAAATTCTAATTCTAACAGTTATTCTAACAATTCGAGTGAAGTTTATTTTCAAACAATCGGTTCACTCATGCCACCATGTATATCGAATTTCTGCCTTAACTTGACTATAAAGGTTCAGCTTGCAGCTATAAAGCTTCAGTGAGCACCAGATTTTGAAAATCGGTCCGAAAACGAAAATTTTATCAGTTCAAGCCGAAAAGTGAATTTGTTGAGACCAGCCTGTAAATAAAAGAGGCAGGCGAAAAATTCAGATTCAGTTTTGAGATATAAGGCGGATCTTTATGCTTTTGATGTTGAAATTCAAAAAACACTTTTTTGTAGCAAGACAAACTTTCAGAGATGCTGCATAGTTTCATTTTCCACCGTGTATAAACTTTAGACAAAGCACACATTTTTTGCAAAAACGCACACCTACAGAAAAAGAACTGATCTACTTAAAGCTTTAAACAGCAATAAAATCGGTTGGAGCAAACAGCAGTTATCCAGTGGCAAAGTTGGTGCAAAGTTTAGGTAATATTGATATCGGTTCTAAGGTTCTAATGGGAACGAGTAGAACGTTCGATCAATTAATCCGAAAAACTTTTCTCAACACAGTGCAAAAAATGATTTAAAGAAATTACAATTTCTAGAAAAATCGCCACATTTTCAGTTGAATAACTTTCACTTTGCTTTTGATAAACCGTTATTTACAGGAATTTTAAGATTGAAGAATTTAAGAATTGAATCAAAGAATCGGTCCTTTTGTATTGAAGTTTGTAATTCTTTGCATTTTTCAAGCCTTTTCAAGGCTTCAAAGGTACATTTGGCCAAATGCACATTTGAAGGCTTGAAAAAGATAAAAAATTACACACTTCAATACAAAAGGACCGATTCTGTTATTCCATCCAGTGTGCACACACACAGTCCTATTATTATTAAGAATTGAAGTTTTTCATTGAAGAATTCAATTCAAATTCAAGAATTGGAAAAAATCATGATGTTGACCACAGAAAAAAACCGATATTGCATCCAAAGAGCAAAACATTGGTTCTCCTCATTAAATGTGCCTCTCACAAATCCCCCTTCATTTGAAACTTCTTTTAATACTCTGAAAGCCGTTTTGAGTGGAAGATTAAGAGGACAATACTGTAATCCATCCACGGAAGGTTGAGTACACATATCAAATAAATTAACCAATTGCATTTAATACCCAAGCCATTGAAAATGTTAATCTTATAGCCGATTCTGCATCAACGGTTTTTCTTAGAACATTGGCAGAAATCTGCTCATGTTCCAACACCAGTTGCTTGAAAAGTATTCACTTATGACAAGCATATATTTTGTTCATACAAGATATACAGGAGTGTTTACAACATTAGAGCAACATCCTATTTTGGGACGATGATTTTCAAAGGTTTCGCTCAGACTAGAGAGTTGCACCCAGAAGATTGCTGATTATTGGCTTATCGCATAACTTAACAATGGTAATCCTTCCAAGATTAACTTGGCTGTCGAGTAAGATGGAAAATGTTTAAAGAAAATATAATGGTGTCATTGTTTGCGATTGACTCTACACGTAGACACTTCAATGGTATTGACTACATCAAAATGTAGCTGATGCTAATCTATTGCCAGTGGTGGATAAGCCGCTTTCCCTTATGAATTAAGTCGCTAATTCGTCAAATGTTCGAAATATACATAAGACTTTTATCTAAACTGTGCATTTTATATGATCAACAATAAAACCCCTTTGGGTAATAAAACACAATTTGCATCAGATTAGGCGCATTATAGCATGTACATATTTTTTCACATGATATGTTCATGTGAACGCCAATGCTTCAACCATAACATATCACGATAGCATATGTGAGCGCGATTTAGACAACCGAATTTCACAATTTTTGAAATTTTTTAATTGATTTTTACAATAAGTCATTGAAGATAAGATTAAACGGGCGATGAGCATGACGATTGTAATTTAAATCACTATTGGCAGATTCAATTTCGCGGTCAGAACAATACAGGAAAACAAGACTAAATTGGTGTTGAAAAAAAGAAATAAAGGGTGCGGATTTAAGTGATCATGTCCAAAACACTAGTGGAAGTTTTTTCGCATGAGACGAAGAATCGTAATAGGCCGCACATGTAAGTGCATTGTTATTGTCTTTTTTAATACAATTTTTAGGTCATTTATATCTTCAAATTCTACTAATCTTGACCGTTAAGCACAGGAAAAAACACTATTTTCATTCTTCTTTCAAATAAGGATTGTCGCATTTTGTACTTCTCTTGGTTCGGGAATTTATTAAAAAAAAACAATCATAAGCGTTTATCAACTTTATAATTCCCGTTAATGTCAATAACAAATAAATATAAAGAGACAACATAGAAATAGACAAAAAGAGACAAGTGGGAGATTAAAATAGAAACACTCCTAACAGAAGACTCACAATTGAAGACAAATAATAAACTCAGTAAAAAACCGGTGTGCAATGGTGGAAAGGATAAATTGATTTTCAATTTGCATTTTCCACAGAAGAAAACACAGCAAAGCGCCAAAAGTGGCCTTGCGGAAACTTCCACACTAAATCGTGTTTAAAGACAACAGTTGTAACTAGAAAGTGTCGACTTTTCAGCCGTGCCGAACTCTTCGTGTAAACACTGGTTTGGACGCAAGAAAACACAAAAAACTGTTCACTTTTTGTCATCCAGTCCGTGTCGTGCCCGAAGGGCTCGGCATAACTTTCAATGGCAAATTTGCAACTTTAAACAAAAACAGACGTGACAGAAAAATAGAAAAAAATCATTTTATAATAGTCATATATTTTAATAGCAAATAAATACAAGAAAACAAGATAGAAATAGAAGAAAAGAGCCAAGTGGGCAATTCAGATAGAAACACTCCCAACAGATTACTCGCAATTCAGGAAAAATGATAAACTCAGTAAGAGATCGGTTTTAAGTGGTTTGAAGGACAAATTGAGCAAATCTGATAACAATAGCAAATAAGCGGGCAGTTTGAAAAAATCACTGCCATGGGAAAAAACTTTGAACCCAAATTGAACAGTTTAAGTGAAAATTGAAAAAACAATGTATCTGCCTCTTAAAACTTCCAGATTAAACGCTGTTTGCTCTTATATTCATTTTAACTTCACCTATATTCATTTCTACCTATATTCATTTTAATCTTCAATTTGACTCATTTGGTTTTAAGGAAAAAATTACAAACAATTACCCACAATTTTTTGTTGTCTAATAATTCAATTTCTTCTGACATTGAACATGTTCAACCTAGAAATCAACTGTTGTTGCAGATTTGGTCCAGACTACTATGCCAGACTAGCAAGCAAACCATCTGGAGGTGGAAGAAATGCCCAGGTAAGTCTAGCGAACCATATAAACCACCTGGAAGAAATCTCCACCTACTCCAGTTTACCCAGAAGTTTATACTCCCCTAAAAATTCCAGTAGAAACTTCGTACAAAATCCTCTACTACTTTTTCCTGAAAGTCCCAATTAACTGGGGGGTAGGATCAGACAAACGTTTCGTAGATTCTATTAAAAGGGCTTTAACCAGCTTATTTATAACTTTATTTTCCATTAGACTTAGCGCACAGCTACCTGTTACTGTTACGAAATAAACCGTTGGATCTGGTTGTTTTGTGTTTTGTTTTTGGTCTCATTCTTTCACCTTCTACTGGTTAGCATGGGAAAATTTTAATTTTCATCGTTGCACTTGCAAATGGATTGTGCATGAAATGTTTGGAATGCGATTCGAATTGTGTAAGTAAAAGGTGAAGGGGTTTTGGTCGATGTTGTATCAATAAAAGTTACTAAACTTAATGAATGTTCGGTTTACTAATAATTTACTGTGCATGCATGAACTGGGTTTTGTTAAGCTGTGGTTTGCGCAAAATGTTTCCCATTGAAAGAATAAGTAAAAGAAATGAAACTGCTGCAAAGGAAGTTAAAAATCATCGTTCTTCAAATTTATTTCGACGTCAGTTTTTTTCAGACAATATTCAGTAACTTGCTTCTAAAGGMCTTAAAGTTAGATGAATAACWGATGCATCTGTTAAGATAATATGGGACTAATTCAGATTCATGGACATMAGAAACACCTCAATTTTTGGCGTTTATGCAGCTTGCTTTTAATCGATTTTTATAASAAAATAACCAATATAATAATTAAGCTGWATACAAAAATTSTAGCGTTTTTATGTATTCTTAATAGTTTTAATTTCATAGTTTAGCAGTTTYRAAATTTAGAACATTAGAACAGAATTTTCTGTGATTTCTYAATGTAAAAATGTCTAGGGGTTTGAAATACCTAATTAACTTTAAGTATTATCAGSCAAAACAAGTGTGATTCCCAATTTGCAAGGGAAAAAATCTACGTCACTTGTTGCATGATATCTCATCTAACTCAATAGATATGATTAAATACCASTTTAACGCCTATTTCCAGATAAAATGCTTATTTAATCGATATTTATAATCAACGTTAAATGGTTGCTTTAGTCTGAAACTAGTGTGTGCCTGTTATTAATGTAAGTCATAGATAATTCGAGTTTTTTGAGTTGTTTTTTCCGGATATTCTCAACTAACCATTTCAACAGTTCTCGACTATTTCACTATTGTTTGTTAGGGTTGAGTTAACTCACTGCCAACAATCCAATGATTCATTTTTTATATCAATATTTGCATAAATGCTAGTCATTCACAACTCGACTTGATGAAGTTGGGCTTTCATCTGCACTTAATATTCTTTATAAAATCCGAAAAATTTGAATTTTTGTGCAATTCGCCAGTAATTATATTTTTACGACAGTTTTAATAATTGTTTACCCTGTGATAAACACTTGAACAATCTTATCATTTTAACAAACCTGTTGTTATATTTGTAGCGCTTCAAGATAAATTGTTCTTATCATTGGCAATTTTCGCGGAAATTTTAAAATTGTTGTTATTCAAAGCTCACCGCGAAATGAAATGAATCTATTATATAACCTATTATAGATCATTTTTATTTTTATTTAGCAACACTTTACTGCTCTTTTAAGAGAGAAACAGTAGAGTGCCAAAMGCAGCATTAAGGAAACTTTAAATYATTTTTAAAGGCCACAGTTGCAGCATTAAAGTGTCGGCTGTGAAGTTGTGCTGAACCTTTCGGAGGCGACACTGATTAAATCACAATGAGTAAAAAACTGGCCGTTTTAGGGTGTTTTCAACATCCGCGAAGGATTTGGCACAACTTTACAAGTTGTGCCGAGCCCTCTGGGCGCAACACTGGATGAAAACGCGCCAAAACAGTTTGAGAGTGTTTTTTGCATCCAAAATAATGTGAATAGCGCACAACTTTCAACTGTCGACTTTGAAGTTGTGCCAGAGCCTTCGGGCACGACACTGGTTTGTACGCAAGAAAACACTTCAAAATACAATTTTTTTACACAGAACTTAGCGATTTGAAAATTTTGAAGTTTGTTGAAAAACGATCTATTTTCTATAAAAACTGCATCTCGGAGAATTGCAATCGGTTAAGGTCGAAAATACGAGTTTGCGAACCAAATGCTTTGAATTAAACCGCGATTAATGTCGCGCATAAACAACGTCGACTTTAAATTATGTTTAAAGATCAAAGTTCCAACGTTAAAGTATTGGCTTTCCAATGTATCAATCAAAATCAATACGATACAATTCAAGTGTGGTTTAAATGCAATAAAACGTTCTTAAACTGCCCAGTTTTTAATGTTTTTTGTGATGTAGCAACTGTCGTATTGATCTCGAAACTTCGCCTTAAAACTGTGTTATGGAAATATAAAATACATATAAATAATATAAACTGGAGATCACAGTTGCTACGTTAAAGTGTGGCTTTTATAGTAGGATTTTTTGGCTTCTGCTGTTCAGTCAGTGTCTCGGCACAACTTTGGCTTTAAATCTTGTTTAAAGGCCAAATTCGTAAGGTTAAAGTGTCGGCTTTAAGATGTACTAAACTTCGTTTATAGCAGCGGTTTGGGTGCAAGAAAACATTCTTAAACTGCCCATTTTCAATGTTGGGATTTCGCCAGTTGGACACAACTTCCACATTAAACTGTGTTTATCGATCAAAGTCGCTTGGTTAAAGTTCGGGATTGAAACAAAAAAAAACTTTAAGCATGCCACTGGGTTGGGAAGCAAGAAAACACCCTTTAACTCCGAAAGGAACTTAAAATACTCCAGTTTTTCGTGTTCTTCCGTCCAACTAGGAGTTGCAAGTCAAAACTATCAAGTTTAAAGTTGTTCTGAGCCCCCTGTGGCTCGACACTGATTTGAACGCAATAAAACCAATTTTTCTTGAAGCGCAAAAATTAGTTGTAGGAGTTCATGATGGACAACCAAATGTGGCTGTTCTAAAGTTTGATGATAAAACATACGAAAATAAAAAACTCAAAAACGATTTTTGAAAAACACGAAGTTTTGATTTAAAATTAACTGGCAAAACCAATATAAGCAAATTAACTTTTAAATATCTGTGAAACTTTACACTAAAAGAGCCCTTAATAGTTATATAAAACTATGTCTAAGTCTAGCTTTTAAAATGTATCATTTTTAAACTTACATTAAACTTTTTTATGCATTTTTATTAGATATGCGGATGCTTATTATGCATGTTTTAAAAAGCATTACTTACGCGCCCACCCAACACCTTCATTAGGATCACTTTGGAATTATAACGCCCGTAATCCGATCATTTCATTGTAACTACTTACATTAAATGTAATACTGATACCCATATCGATTCATGCCATTAAACCTGTGACTAATCCAGCTAACCCCTCGCAGGTAAACGGTGTCGCTTGGCCTTCATCCGAACCATCAAGATCAAGAACTCCAAGTCCCCCGCCTGCTCTTCCCAAAGCAGCTCCCCCATCTCGAGCTCAAATCGTAACCGAAACCAGTCCCTTATCGGACGTGGTTGAAACTCCGGCATCATTTGAAGTTCCTCCGGAGCTTCCAAAAAGCCGCCCCCCTCTTCGGGTAACTGCTGAAGTTGACGGGATTCATCAAGCTTTGAAAGCAATAGTTATCCCATTGGAAGAAATGTCGCAGGCTACTTTCCATAATCATGTCAAAGCGGAGGTTTATAGGGCAGAAAATTCTTCCGCAGTAACTTCCGACTCTGAATTGAGTTTCGTTAACTTTTACGATGTGGAGCATTCGCAGATCGTCAGAAAATCGAAGAACGAAGACATTCATATACCGATTAAAGCGACACCGTTGGGAGTTTCATACAGGCCTATTGAAGATGGCAACGAAACTGTCCATCCTGGTGAGCAACTAGAGAATGGATATGGAGAAGATCACGTGGCTCGATCACGGGTTCTGTTCGGTGAAAATAAAGGGGAAAGCGGAAGTTTCGTAAAAGCTCCTCCAACAGTTAAGGCGCGCAATTTTGGGCAAGAAAGAGTTGCCCTAAGGAGACATTTAAGCGAATCCAGTTTGCTCGACGACTCATTCGATGCTCCCCCAAAAGTGATCCACCCGAAGAAAGATAATACGTTGATTTCCAAAATCTACAAAGACCCCAAAGTGAGGCTGTTTGCTTTGCACAGCCGAGAAGAAACGCCCTCCATGGAAGAGACTTATAATACATCATCCTTTAACAGCCATCGAAGCGTTGAGGCCAAAGAAATCCAAAGCGAAACATCTTCCATATACCTAAGCAAAGAGATATTGCATAGCTCTGATGATGGCTTAACATCGGAATATGACTCTGGAAAGACTGGAAGAATATCATTCTTCAGCTCTGAGGAAGACCTGCTGTCGCTAAACTCCGATTCAAGCCATGTAGTTGATACAAGAAATCACGCCATGGCATCAGGCGAACCACATTTCGATCACTACTACATGGCCAGTCCTCCTGCAACTCCCAGCACGAAGAAATTCATCTACGGATCTCAGGAGGATCTTCTCAGCTTGGAAGAAGTAACATGCATCCGCCCCAGGAAGGATAACACTCTAATTTCCAAGATATACCAAGATCCCAATGTGCGCAACTTCGCCTTGAAAACGCACAAAAACAAGCTTCCAGACTCACTCTCATCCAAACCCAAACAGAGGGAATCGCTCGACCACGCCTTCTCGGTGGAAACTCGTGGAAGAACTTCAAGCCATGCGTCTAGAGCTGCAATTAATTCGTCATCTTCAGCAGAAATTAGCCTGGAGATGCATCCAGAAGAACAGAATGCTGATCCTTCACTTTATGCCCACCAAGTGGACAATGTCGAGCATGAAGCTGTGGACTTGGATGTGGAAGAAATAGCGAAACGGCGTGTGGTTCGTCAGGCTTTAGGCAAATTTCAAAAGTCCGAAATTGAACCCAGGCAGGTTCAAATGCATCGGAATTCGTCGGTTGATGAATCGAATAGCGTCCGAGTTTCAGTACGGGAGTTGAAGAATAAGTTCGAAACCAATGATGTAAGTAAAGTTTTTAGGCGTCAGTTTTTTTTTGAAGCTCATTGAGGCTTGCTTGTTTTTTCAGTTTTTGGACAGTTTTTTAGTGAGTGAGAAAAAGGGCTTATAATCGTAGGTTTACTTCTTTGAAATAATTTTCTGTGCTTGCAAACAAGTACTGTAAATTTCCCACATAAAGAACTCCAATTTCAAATCACCCTGTAATATGAAGTTTAAAAAAAGGTTGATAATATGATCGTAATTTCTTACGAATTAAACTGGTCCCAATAAGTTGAACAAGTACATTTTAAAGATGGATTAATTTTCCTTATTTTTGTAAACCTAGGGAAACTTGAGTTATACCAAAGATTGACAATTTTTTGCGACGCCATATCTATTTCTTTATCACGACGCTCGTTGAACTCGCAACGTATTTTTTTCATTTCCTGAACAATTATCTGGGTTTTGTCGAAGTTTTATTATTTTACTTTTACATTTCTTTACAGGGTATATAATAATCCGTTACATAACATTTTACAGGGTGACTTCTTAATCAAAAAATCCGAAAATACAGCCAGTTAAAGGTGTGTGGTCAATAGATCATCAAACATGAAACTTGTGTTTTTCGGATTTTAGTCGTAATTTTTTTTCTGATGTGAATTTTATAGAGGTGGTTTGCTGGGCGCAGCAGCCACGTTTTGTTAATTTATAACAATTTCATTCAAATGATGATTAATTTCCCGCTTCCTTTTATGTAATTTATTTCATTTTTTTTCTATTCTAAGTAAATACTTTTGCATCAAAATTTCAAATTTCAGTGCTAGAAAATTGATGAGAATTAGAAAAAAGGTACAATAAAAGACACTTCGACAACTCAAATTTTCTTAATGCTAGTCCAAAACTGACATGTTTCGACTCATGCGTTGCCATTTTGAATACTTTTTTTCCACGATTATTTAAGCTAATAATTGTTGTTTTGTGCGTTTTTTCAGAACAATAATAAGCCAGTCGTGTCCAGTTTAACAGCCAGAAGTCTGTCGACACAAGTAAAGGCCGCTTTGAAGCGATGAGGATCAAGTCGTTGATGCCAAATAAAATCAAGAAATTATTATCTTAAGCATACTAAAAGGTGCCTTTAAGAGGAGAGTTTTATTGAAAAAATGTATATTTATGTTATTTAATTTTATTAGTAATGAATAAAGTCAGTTATTGTAAGTAAATGTATAATTAAATTTGTTAAATAAATATTATTTTTTACATGAAAACTGTGGCTCTTAAATTCCATTGTTAGCGTTGTTTATATAATGTAGTTTAACTTGAAAATCAGTCAAAAAACTCTGTTTTAAAGCAATACGATGAACTTCAACTATCATTTCGGATGTGGCTTTTCTTAAGCTTAGTGAAATATGATCTGGGCAGAAATTATACTGATTATTCATTTAATTCAATTTCTCAACTTACGGCAACAATAGAAAAATGTCGAGAATTCAATATTCTATTGCTGTAGTGTTTCTTGGATTACTAAAAGGCTTTAACTAACGTTAACTACTATGAAATGTTATTTGTGAGGTGGGAGAGCCTGAAACCGAATTTCCCTCACAATAATTCTTTACGAGAACAACATCGATAACTGGTAACCTTTCAGACTAAAGAAATAGAAATTTGCATTCTCTCTTCTGATCTATTGAGAATATACATTAAGAAAGGTATTAAATGGACGGAATGGAGGAAACCCAACTGCGAGCAAAAAATACAAACTTGTGATACGCAGACGATACAACGTTGAAAGCAGCAACAGTTTGATGACTGGTTCAAGTGAGAGTGACATCTGAAGAATGATAGGAACGTCCAAGTCCAAAAGTGCAATGAGTAGATAATCTGAGATTTCAATCGACTGTTTTATTAAAAATTCGCTAAAATGATGCAAATTCTGGTTTTTTCGTGTTTCGATATGGGAGTGAAACCTGAACAATTAAAGCAGTGGACTTAAGAAGAATTGATGCATGAGCAGGGCACAGATCGAGCTAGTAAATCTTAAAAAAATTGAATATTCAGAATAAACTCTCATCCAGTTGCAGACATCCTGAGGTTTTTTGAATCTGAAGAGTTTGATGTTTTCAGAAAACGTAAAGAGACGAAGGTAAGAAGGGCGCTCACCAATCCTATGGCCTGATCAGATTTGAAAAATATAGAAACAATAAGTTCCATTGAAAAAGTGAATTATCACGATGCGCAGTAATGAGAGAACAACCACAGACACTGTTTAAACATTGGCAGCAAACTTTTTTTAAAATTGAATTACACGTTAGTATAAGAAATTGTATGTCGTTTTATAGATCTTTTTTCTTTCGCGTAGCACCATTACTTGATGGTTTTGCGCATTAGTATTAAAGTGTTTTTTTATAATTAATAGCAACTTTTTTTCAATTATTATAAAACTAAATACATTAAAAGTGTATATTTGAAAATACTTACTAATTGGATAAATAACTTCGTTAGACTTCAAACTACTAAAGTTACAATTTTATAAATAATACTTCTAAACTTTAAATATGTTGTTAGACATTTTTAAAGCCAAAAACCAAGTAATCATGACCAAAACTCAATATAAAAAAATCCAGTTCAAAGACCAAAAAAGTGTTTCGAAAAATGTGAGTAACGTGCTTTTTGAAATTTTGGACAATTTCTGTTGGAGACTGTCTTCTATATGCGAATTAAAAACGGATTTTAAACTCTGAAAAAATGTTGAAGCACTTCTTCAATTGGATGTTTGATGATTTCACTGATGAATGACCAGAAAATAACACTAAAATTAAACACCTTATATTTCATAAGAAAAATATGACAGTTAGCGCCAAATTCAGCTTCTTGCAGTCCTCACCGAAATGAATTAGATTGATTCATCGCTGCATATTAACCAATGACCTCACCTCGCATTCTTAGACCAGTAAGCTTACCTGATCATTAAGAGCTTTAATCAAATAAATTAGACTTTCAAAAATTTTAATACCCTCAAACAAACTTATTGATTCTTACATAAAAAAAATCGCACAGTTTTTCAAATTCAACCCTTAAAATAACCAAGAAAATCGAGTCAAATCACATAGATAACTGAGGTTGAGCACACACATGCACACATACTATTTGGTGGGCAGCAAGAAGGTCTACCAGATGAACGTCACAGAAAAGCAAGGTAAAGAAGGTAAACCATCGAATGGTTTATACCAAATGGAAGACAGTGCAACTGGTAGCGTTAAGGTAGAAAGTTGCAGTTGAGCAGCGCGAGTAAATGAACTGTTAAATTCCCATTTAAAAATAAAAAACGAACCTTTAACAACAAACACCGTGGATTAATTATTATTCGTTAATTAAATTAGTAACTTGTGAACAGTGGGTGTTACAGTGTGATGTCATTGATGATATAATGTGGCATTTAAGTTTATTTACGTTGGTGATCTCGATCGCTAATTGCTTCGCGCAAAATGGGTGAGTAAATTTTCAAAAAACGCATTTTGCTTAATGTGCTTTGATCCTTAAATTGCTCAAAGGAAAAACTTATTTTATTTCCGCAAAACCTGGCAAAGCGTTGAAAAAACCCGCGAATTAATTTAATTAAGCATTGTTTGAGCACAAAAAACAAAACCCAGTCATTGTCATCAAACATGTGAATATCGCTTTCCCTTTTGCAAAATGAAGGAGCGGGATGGTTCACTTTCTTTTCGCCAGATTAATTGCACTATTGAGCTCAATTCTTAGCAGTATTTATGCACATTTTCCAATACATTGAAAGCTGAATTTTTTCCACTTTTATATAAATGCAAAACTGTTTACAGTTGAAAATGTAACAGGATTATGAAATGCATGCGAATAAATCTCGAGCAAAACAATTCCGTTAGAAGAAACCGGCATTCCTATGTGAAAGTCCAATTATGCGGAATGTAACAACTGAACCCTGAAGTTTTTTTCAGTTTATGCAATAATTTATTGTTAATATGCAGAAATGCAGACATCTGATGTTTTAAGAGTCAGACTCATCAAACATTTGTTCAATATTCTCAATGAATAAGTGTGCAAATATTCGCGCAAATGATCGAGTTCCTTTTCCTGTCCATTTATGGAACGACTATAAGAGCTATTTGCGTTACTTCAGGTGCGCGAATAAATTGAAAACTGCTGGTTTGGGATATAAAATGATTTATCGAGAACGAAGAGTATTTCAAGCAACTAGACAAAACAGTTTTGATAATAATACTAGTTCTTGAATTGAAAAATATCCAAACAACCAAAAAAGTAAACATTTAAAATGGTTATTGATTCGAGATTTTGGAGAAATTGTGGCTTGAATTTTTAAATTGTTATTTCCACTTCGAATGTATACGAGTAGATAATAATAAACGTGTCTTTATAGTTCTTCACCTTTGAGAATAGAAGAATTCTGCAATTCAAGACACTTCAGGGTCTACCGACCAAATATTTATTTAAATTAGTGCGGGCTATGACACACAAAACAGCCCGATGTAAGTCCAACAGACTTTATCTCTTTAGCTACAAAGAACCATCTTTTAATGACTAATTATGTGTGTAGAAACTGCTGTATTTAAAATGAATCTAACACAATCGCAATTTTTTATGTTAATTTACTTGTGCGCTCATTTTCATTGAATCAGTACGGAAATGAAATTTGCAAACCTCGCATATTCAACAATTAACCGTCTAGTTCTTAAAGAAACCGAGTTCGCATCAAATTAATTTTCCATTCCACATGTGTGTAGGATTTGTAGGAACCAGGAAAAGTCGGCGATTCAAACATATCAATCACTAGATTGCAGGTTGAGCGTCAAATGTATCAGCGTAGGACTGAAGTTCGCTTAATTATGCAAAATTATGCAAGCAATGCTAGAATAGGATGATGGCCAAGAAAATATACTAATAAAAATGAAAGTTTATCCTTTTTTGTAGGCCTGAAATAATCGACCTGTGTGGGCCTGAAGAATTACGCAAATGGTTCCTGCTATCGAATTCATTTGAGATGAGTCTTAAATCGAACTAAATTGAAACTGATGAGTTTTGGGCGTTTAGGCCATTGAGCAAAGGGATTTCTTCCTAACGTTTCGCAAACAAGGGTGCTTTACATCCCCAGAGGTGTTTCGCTCGAGAGCTTGCAGTTGGCTGAAGTAAGGGTTCAGTCTAGAGGAGAATTTTTTTGGAAAGGACCAAGTCGCTTGTAGATTTCTTCAAAATTTCAATTTGCTGCCATAATCAGGAATTGCACAAAAATATTCGTTGGAAAGAGCACAGTCACTTGTAAAAGTACTGGAAGTTTCATATTGCCACCATCATCAGCGATTTGAGGAAAAAATTAGAAACTGGAAAATTTTTTACGCGTAAAAATGTCAAAGATGTTTAAAAATTCGTATTTCTGGCACAAAATTGGCTCGAAACTTAAAGTGAATTTCATGAGAAAGAACACAGTCGTTCAAATAACGCTTCAACATTTCAATTCGCAATCAAAATTGCAAAATTAATATTTTTTTCAGGAGTTAAAGAAAAGTTTTTCAGGACAAAAACTAATAATTATCACTAATTGTGCTGGAAATTTAAGGAAAAGAAAATTTCATTGGTATTAAACTAATATAGTGTAACGGAAATGGCCTGAGGTACTCACGTTTGGAATGGGGAATCGAAATTCATGGTGTTTCAGTAAATGGGAGCCCCATTTACTGTCAAATATGACACTGACAAGCGGGAAGTTTCGCACCTGTTCTGGAGATTTCGAGAACTATCTGGAATACCTGGAGAAAAGGATATAAGCGACGACGAGAACCAGACGGGGGGAAGTGAAGTGACAGGAGCGACCAAGTGCAGAAGAAGTTAAACCCGCGAGTCGGAAACGCGTGTTTTCCGTGTGTTATTGTTATTGTTAGTGAAGTTGACATTAATTTTAGAAGTTAGTTTGTTCCTGTTCCGTAGTTAAAGTTGTACCGAGTGGAATAAAAGTTGTAAGTTGAAGAAAGAATTT